TTAGAGTTCAATTTAGAGGAAAGTGGACTGGGCTTCAACCTCTCTTTCGTCAAACAAGGAAAACTCATTGAACAGGCACTACCAGTATTGATGTACGAGATGATATAGTGCTAATGGCCGACAACAAGAAAGATTTGCAGCGATTGATGAACATCTGCGGTAAATTAGCGAGATAGGTTAGATTTCAGATTCAGTAAAGAAAAATCAGCAGTCATGATTTTTAATAATAATGAAGGTAGTAAGCATAGAATACAGAAGGTCACGCTATAGATAACAGATAAATACAAATATTGGGGTGTAGGGATAAGCAATGGGGCCGAGTACCTAAGGGAACATGAAATAAGCGTGACGACTACAGGTAACACGAATGCAGCGGTGATGAAAAACAAAAGGTATAATGTTGTGAGAGGAATATGGAAAGAGGTCATGGTTTCTGGTTTGACGTTCGGCAGTGTTGTCTTGTGCATGAGATCAGAAGTTCAAGCAAGATTAGAAATTAAGCAACGTGGAATAGGTAGGCTTGCCTTGGGAGCTCACGGGAATACACCAAATGAGGGAGTACAAGGTGATATGGAATAGACATCATTTCAGGGCAGGGAAGCTAGCAGCAAGATAAAATTTGAGAAGCGATTGAGAGAAATGAGGGAGGAGTGCTGGGCTAGGAAGGTATTCAGCTACTTGTACTTGAAGAATGTCGATACAAAATGGAGGAAATGAACTAGGAAATTGACTGGTAAATACTTAGAAAGCAGCAGGGGGCCAAACCAAAAAGCATTATCGGTTAAGAAGAAGGTGAAGAAAGCTGAGACCGATATGTGGAGAAGTGGCATGATTGAGAAGTCCGCACTAGAGATCTATCGAACTTTTAAGCAGGAAATTCCCAAGAAAAAAATCTATGATAATACTTGGGGTAGTTCTCTACTGTTTGAGGCCAGGACGGGAGTATTGCGAACCAAGACTAATCGGGCCAAATACGAAGGGGTAGACACGGTATGCAGTGCGTGTGGAGAGGAGGAAGAAACTGCCGAACACTTGATAATGTTCTGTAAACGGCTTCACCCTATAGTTCAAGATGATGGCACAGAGTTTTTCAAAGCACTGGAGTTTAGGGACAGGGAGGGCAAAATAGACTTTAAGCGGGTAGAATTAACTAGAAGGAGGTTTTCTGAATGGTGGCTAAAGTCAAGGCACGAATGGAATTTAAACCCTTCACTGCAAAGTACGATTCCTAAACCTCACTATTTAAAGAAAAAAAATAAATCTAGTTTGTGGTTCACTAAGTATTGCGGCTTGGTGGCGTTAGTCACCGCCCGATCTAAAGGGTACAGCCACATCAATCGATCCATTCATTCATTGCGAATACAGACTGCATGCCTCAAATCAATGTAGCTGAAGCGAAAGGGGTGGGCACAATGGCCACCCTTGTGGGCACAATGGCCGTCCTCTACACCACTATGCGGTCATGAGTCACCCATGAAAGAACATGACCGCAGCGGCGTTGCCAAGTCATCTTCGTGACCTTGGCGATGGCGCTGGGGCTTGCTCCCCACTCACGATTGGCTACAACGATGGAGGTGGTACGCGCGTCCACTTGCCCTAAATGCGTCATGGTTGAGGCCTACCGGCTTGTGACGATAGAATGTTTGGTCGCCCATCTTTTAGGAGCGAATCTGCTTGAGCCGTGGGTGATGTGCCTGCGATGTATGTAGTAGTAGTAGTAGTAGTAGTTGTTGTTGTTGTTGTTGTTGTTGTTGTTGTTGTTGTTGTTGTTGTTGTTGTTGTTGTTGTTGTTGTTGTTGTTGTTGTTGTTGTTGCTGTTGTAGTAGTAGTACTTCCTTGCAAAGTAGTCTTAGTAGTAGTAGGTAGCCATCTCCACGGCTGAACTAAAGGAGTGGCACGCGCGCAACATTTTGAATTGAGGAGAAAACCCGCGCACGTTAATCATAAAAAGATAGTTGTTTTAGATAAAACATCCTACAGAGACGAGTATCGCTGACTTAATCTTCACTATACTTTGCCTTGAATTTGATGCTCACTAAAAAAAACTAGTAACAAAAGGACGCACTTGGAGCACTATTTGACTTTTCCACTGTTAAACTCGCTTGGTGTAACCTCCTTGGTTTTAGCAAGGTTTGTTTGGCGATGTTTGGGCCACAGTGCCATGAACCAGTGGCTGCGAAAGGTGGGAGCTAGCCACGAAGTGCAGATCATTGGAAAGTGCGTGCGTGCTGCTCCTCCAGCTTGGCCGCGCCACCTATTGTTTCAGAGGCGAAGCTCCTTATAGCGGTACCCGTTCAGTCTCTCGTAGTCATTGTAGGTAGTGTGTAACCAGTCTTACATTTTGACCTTCCAAGGTGGTGCTGGTGGGAGATTTCTTCTGTGTGTTGTTGAACAATAAAAAATTCGCAGCGTGCGCGTTAACTAAAAGCCGAATTCTCCTGTCTCTCATTCCCCCTTAGCAACCATTGGCCTTGTACGTTGAGCACTATCTGACAAGAAAGGGTTGCTACGTTTTACTCGTTGGGCGTAACCTCCGTTGTTTTAGAAAGGTTTAGCGAGCGTTTGGCCGCAGTGCCATGAATACCGTGAACTAGTATATCCCATGAACTCGAGGTGGTTAAAGGTGGGAAGTAGACACGAAGCGCAAGACGTAAGAAAGTGTGCGTGTGCCTCCTCTCGTTCAGTGCTTGAAATGTCCTCTGGATGGTGGTGCTTCTATATGAGGAATATATGATGAAAAGTTGCTGAGATGGTGGTACTTGGAGTGTTAAATAGGTGATCGAACGGACACACAGACAGATGCATGGACGGACGCGCGGATGGCTGCACGGACGGATGGACACATGGATGGACGCAGGAGCGGATGCATAGGATGAACGCAGGGACGGACGCACAGATTAGACGTGCGGACGCTGCGAACAGACGCACGCACGGATGGACGGATGGAAGCAAGGGCGGCCACACAGACGCACGCATGGATGGACGGAAGCAAGAACGAATGGATGAACGGATGCTTCGCCCCACTCTACATCATTCGTGGATATACTTCGTGGATATGCTGCCATTTTTCTTGTAATGTCTGCTGCATTGCGGAACTTACTATCATGAATATGAGATGAAAAGATGTGAGATTGTGGTACGGGGAGTCTTCACTAGTTGGATGGATAGATGGACAGGAGCACGGACGGACGAAAGCGGAGAAAGACAGATGCACACACGGATGGATGGACGTACCGACGTATGCTCCAACACCTGCACCACTCCAACACCTACGGTGAGGGGAGCGGTGCGGATGGAGGGACATCGTTACAAAGGCTAGTCCAAGAGCTGCTTCACATCTAATATAATCTCCACCCATAGCCACCACCGATAAAATTTCGCCTATGGCAGGTAGATCGAAGATTGTCGCTCGAAAACTTCAACTTCCTGTCAGTTTCCGAGAATTCGATAGTACTGCCCAGTCTAGTTTATTATTTTAGGTGGACACACGGATGGATGCACTGACGGACGGGTGGGCACACGAACCGACGGACACACAAATGCACGCATGGATGGACGGAAGCAAGAGCGACCAGACGAACGGAAGCGCTGAAGGACTGACGAATACGTCGCCCCACTCATCATCATGCACTCGGTGGATGTGCTGTGATTTTTTTTGTTTTTTTTATGTGGTCTATGCTGGTTCTTGTGGCCATCGTGTCTGGCGACCGGTTCCCGCTTGGGCGTATCGCGGCACTCTTAGTACTTGCCGGCCTGTTCAACCTTTGACGTAAGCGCTGCGAAGCCGTCGATGGGAATGACCGTTAACATGCTTCATTGGAAATATTGGGGCGCATGAGCCGTGAGACGCTTGCGTTCCTTTCCGAGGAGCTCTTCTTTTTGGGAGAGCTCGGGTTCCTGCGCCATTGATAACGCCCTTTTGTGAACGTTGAGCCTGAACGGGTTCAACTTATTTTTCGACCGAAATGGAGCTAAACCGTACCATTAGGTCAGAGTTGATGTACTTGTCGCCTTAACCTTTTGAACTATATTTGGCACCTTGAAATATCTTGTTCTGGTGATGCTACCATCAACTTGAAGTATGCTATGAAAAAGTACCCATTTACTCATTCGACGCTTTCCCTGTAGTGTCAGTTGTGAGTTGTATGCATTTGTTATTCTGTTGATCTGATTTCTGCTGTTTGCTCTATCTGAATATGTTAGTGCTTTTGTGTTATAGTGATGAGATGGGCAACTGTGAAAATGTGAATGTATTCCCAAGTACTTATTCATCGCGCATAATTTACGCTCTCTACATAGTGTGAATAATTTTTTTCCAAACTGTGGGTGCATAGCAAGTTTAAAAAGATTTCTTGCCCTCTTTAAAGAATACACACTATGCGCAGGATATTAGCATCACGTTCAATTCTTGAAGGCGAGGCTCAAGGGTTGCACCGATTTTTACATGGAGTTCATGAGTGCGTAAATCGCTTTATTGTTATAATACCGGTTCTCTGGAAAACATACGCATCATCAGAGGTCGCTATAGCGTTGTTCAGTTGGTACTTGCTCTCACAACCCGGCTTTATTTCGAGAGGAACGCTTTTTTACAAAAGTGCTCTCGCACGCATCACTTTTTCCTTCCACTTCCAATTTGACGCGTAAACAAACATTTAAAGTCTTTAAAAATACTCTTAGGCTGTATTGAGGGTCAAAAGTTTTATAGACATAGCCCTTATATTTTTCCATCAGTACGATGTAACGCTAAAATAATATTCAAATGTTTGTGTCACTACTTGTTTTAGGTGCAAATCCTACGCACTTTCCTGGTCAGTGCATTCGCGAATAGAACAGCACAAAAGGCGCAGAAAAAAGGAATCGTGCTGGTCCTGCTCAACTGGTCCTGTTGTACTATGTCTTTTGTCCCGCATGTCATGCAAATTTGTTTTCGCACACGTCGCTCCAACTTTGCCAGAGAATAGCACTGCTTGTGCCTGCAATTTTCAAAATTTTCAGTTCACCTTGCAAAATCCTCTATCGTCCTCATGGCTCCAATAATTTTGCCCATCAGAGAGAATGGCAGGTACCGGGATATTGTCCTTGTCAGGAACGGAAAAGACAACACCCCGCAGACACTCCGACTAGTGGTGAATTCATTTCGCAGAGCTCTACAGAGGCGCTGGTGTTCTTGGTGTCCTAGTGGGTACCGGTAGCCAATCAGGAACACTGAGATGTTGCTGGAAGTGCTGGCTAAGATCAGGTCGAACAGGTCTATTGGCTCTCCTTGAGACTTTGCTATTTCGCTCAGCAACAATCGACAGCCTTCCTGCAGAAAATGTGTTCTGTTGAAGATGCAATCATAGGGGCGGGGGGCAACTAAATTACATTAACATTGTGCGCCCATTTCGTTTTCGGCGAGTGTTGTGTAGTCTGCTCACAAAACCCTATTCGTTTACCCAGATGAGATTTATTAACACAGCGATCTGTAACCTCTTAAGCGAACGTATAGTATTCTCAAAACAACAGGACTAAATGCGCCAAAGAAATCTGAACACAACAAGAAAGAGCAATACTGGTACCGCATATTCCACCTACATAAGAATGTCGGTGCTATAGCCGTGGCTGGTAATCCTTTTCGTAGGAGTGGGCAAATTATGCACATATTACCTTAGCTACGACTTGATGGTCTGCTTTCACCAAGGTCGTAAAAACATTCATAAGCAAGATATATGGCTACAAAAGAGAATCTATACACTTCTTCAGTCTACGTGCTTTTTAATCAACGTCTAAAAATCTGACAACACTTCTGTGAAGTCATCTCAGTATTCATTGCTCAATGTTTTTATTATCAGTCTTATGGGGAGAAAACAGCATGCACGTCAGCGGTAGGATATACGTGGGTTAGCGCGGAATTGGCGCAAAAGCAATTGAATCAAACACGCCTTATTGACAATCATGTTATCTGCCAAGAACATTTCGCAAACACCTCAACCGATGTGAGCATGAGTAGTTAAGACATTAGGTTATTTATTTATAGAAGCTCCTGTTGTGCACTAAGTGGTTGGTCTATTGGCTGGGCCGAGACAGGAAGACAAGAGGGGGGGAAGGAAGGGGGTTAATGGTGAAGAACGAACTGCGCTGCGCGCGCTGCTTACGCTTTTCTTGCCGACCTTATATTCTAAAGCCTTCGACAAAGCCAGCAGTGACATAAGGCGCATAGTAGTTTGTGTCCTATTTCTCAAAAGCTTGCTTATGGGTGGTATACCCACACGCAACAACTGCTAGTTTTATTTTTATTTTTTTCACTGGGGAGCGTGGCATTTGAGACGGTCGCAGAGAAACCAACCGGCACGCATTCTTGCAAACTATGCCAACACGAATAGGTTTCTTCGACTGGACGCTAGGTGCCAAATCTGTTTGATCTTGGAAAACTGCAGAACAAGAAGCACACAGCTCGAAGCGTCCCGCGGCCAACGCAGACAACGTGGAAAACTGAAAGTAGGCGACACTTCCCACCACCGATGTGGCTCCACAGTAACTGATTGACCACGTCTCTTTCAGACAGCCAGGGAACTGCCACGAATCTGTCACTTATGTCAGTCTCCACTCAAGCTATTATCTAATTACGGCAAGGTAGCCTGAGAACTTCATACCGCCAGCCACCATGCTGCTAGTGTGAACGAGTCATTGCTACTCCACGCACCGGAAGGTGGGAAGGGCCACGACAGTTATAGAGGAAGACATAAAAGTCACTATTGCAAACGACGTAATAGCAGCGCCGTGCTTGACACCAAAGTTGTTGGATATATCCCATGCTCGTAGCTATAACAGAGCGTTAGTTTTGCAAGATTATGTGTTTGACGTCATGCATCCGAATTGTGGTCCCAAATGAAATCATGGGGCTTCTGCTAATACTCCCAAGCAATAAACTTATGACATCTTCCGAAAACGGCAGCGACAATACGCAGAAGTTGCAACATGCTCCAAAACTTTTCCAAAGAGTATTAACCAGCTAGCCAAACAACAAGTCTTGCTTCTGAGGATTTCACTTACAGCGATGACTTCTTTCATGGCTGGTCTTCCATATCCTAGTCCACGTAACAGTTTCAATGAGAAACGGCGGTTTTCGTCCCATGACTTGCCTCCGTAAGCGGCGAACCCTATAAATATATGCGCCGGCAGTCATGACGTTTTCAGACTCTGTTCACAAACATAAAATATTTACATTCAACAAGATCATTGAAGTTGGCCGCGAAACACCTGGTCATATTAAGGATAGCATTGAATACACAATGGATTTAATTCCCCTGCTTTAGGTCAAACTTTACAAAAACTATGGTTGATCCGTACGTCATAAAAATCAGTAAAACACGAAGCTAAAGCGTGTCTTTCAATACGCGGCTTTTTTTATCTGAACTTGAGTCCACAGTATCATTTTATCAATAAAAGAGCATGTGTGCATCATAGGAGACGTCAACATTGACCTTTTGCGTCCCACTGTAGGCCTCGTCGCTGATTATCTAGACAGGACTTTCTAAATAGGGCTTAGAGTGCCGAATAAATCAAGCGACTTGAGAAGAAGTTTTGGCTGGCAAGCTCGTCGTGTCGTGCATTGACCACGTTTTCGTGCGTGCGCAGAACCTGCTCACAAAAACCGCTATAATACAGACGAAGATAGCTGACCATTGCTTTGTTCGCGGCTCAATCAGCTGTTCACATATGACGACGATGCCAACCGATACAAAAAAACTGATTTCGGGGCTAGATTAAAAAAACTTTGATAATCTGGTAGCTCATTATGACTGGAATTCTTTGTTGTCAATAACGTCTCCTACTGACCTCTACAGTGAATTTGTAGAAGCGTTCATAAGCTTAAAAGAAAATGCGACGCGAACGATACACATTAAACAACGTAAATTGGATAATAAATGGATGTCAACACATATACTTGCTGCAATAAAAGAAACGGACTTGCTTTGGAAACAATGTAAGCGTTATCCTAACTGTTAAGACTTGCGAGCCAAATGTAATCAAAGCAGAAACAAGGTTAATGCTATGATTCGCTCGGCCAAACGAACCCATTTTCGAGCCAAATTTAAGGATGCCAGTAACAGCAGCAAAAAAACCTGGGCGTTAGTTAACACCTTTAGAGCGCAAACACTCGCGTCAATATTTTGAATAACTTTTTTTTCGAGTCAAGCCAATAACGCACAGGAGATTGCTGATGAATTTGACACTTTTTCGCTCGAACAAGTAAAAACACAAATTCTCAAATAGGCCCGTGCACTTTACGTCACAGTGTTAGCGAATCGGACTTATCTACCTCCGATATCACATGAGGACTTACGATCTATCATTTTCAGTTTGAAGTGTCAAAAATCTGCTGGTATTGATGGTGTTTCTATAACTGACTTGCACCATACATTTGAATACACCCATGAAGTTCTGCTAGCACTAATAAATCGCATTATTTCTAGTGGAGAATTTCCAATAAATTTGAAAACATCAATAGTTATACCTATACACAAATGCGGTGCGCGTGGTAAACTTGAAAATTATCGTCCGATATCAATTCTGCCTTCTATAGTACAAATACTAGAAAAACATTTGTTGTTAACGATGACAAGGTTTCTCGATAGTCACAACATTTTATCGCCTTGCCAAAATGATTTTCGACACGCGAAAAGCACTCAGACGCTATTGGAAAACTTCTCTGATCAGTTGAAGGAGGCGTTCGATAACAAAAAAAATGCCTGTGCGCTCTTTCTTGACTGCAGCAAGGATTTCGGCAGTGTCCATCATACCTTGTTGTTGGATAAACTTTTTCAGTTAGGGTTTAGGGGTGCTTTCTTGTCTTTGTTGGCAAATTTCCTCCAATGCAGGCGTCAACTTGTATCCATTGAACAATCTCGCAGCGCGTTCCAAATAATTAAAACCGGCGTTCCACAGGGATCAATTCTTTGTACGCTGCTATTCAATACTTTTGTAAATGACCTTCACAGCGCGATACCGGTTTCTCTATATCAATACGCCGACGACACTGTGATCGTGACGACTGCAAACAACTTTTATGAGGCGATTACTCTTCTTCAGTCAGCTGCCACTAAAGCCATGGATTGGTTTTGAGATAACCTTATTAATATAAATGTGTCTAAAACTAATCTAATCTGCCTCCACAATCCATTGAAGAAAGTAACCCTTGACTATCATTTCACTTTGCATTGTTCTGACTATTCATCCTGCTCTTGTAGTTCATTACAGTATTCATATGTAGTGAAATACCTTGGCTTATACATTGACAGCGGCCTTTCCTGCAATAGTCATCTCGACTATGTTTGCAAAAGACTTCAGCGCTGCGTCATGTCTATTATATAGCATAAGATATAAAATGCCGTTTTCAGTACGTAAGATGATAGCACACGCTTTAGGTTACAGTATACTGCGTTACGGAATAACCATTTACGGATACTGTGCTGTCCGTTGGCACAATAGAATAAACAGAATATTGCGTTCGATTTTTAAAAATATATCTTACGAGCTAGACATTAATTCTGAGAAAGACATCTTCAAAAAGCTGTTTATGCCAAGCTTCAGTGATCTGTTAATGCAAACGGTTGTTTTAAAACATATCTGGTCCAAAGAATTCCTGGTTCCGTATGTTACTTCTCGTTCTTTAAGGCCTCAAGTACGTTACTGGAGGCCGCGGTGTTCAACAAAGTATGGAACTAGAATACGAGCCCATTATGTACCAACCTATTTCAATGTACTTTCCCCCAGCATTTTTCGCACAAAAACAAAATACAAATAAAGAAACTGCTACGGCGTATCTGTCTACAATTGTAATGCATGCCGTGTGTTATAATTGTGCAGCATGATGCTGCGCAATTATCCAGTGTGTTACTTGGTTTGAGAAGCATTCACTCTAATTCTTTCTTTTTTCCTTTACACCTTTTCACTTTCAATTGCTGTAACTATTGTATAATGCTTGTAACTATTGCTTATATGCCCTGTTGTTTCTAATCTCATATGACCGTTGTTTTTGTCCTATATCCCTATTAGGCCAATCTTGTAACGCGTCCGGTTTGTTTTGCTGCCTGCCAGGCTCTGCCACTCAAGCCACCAATTGGCTTTAGCAGGCCTAGTCACATGTACTGTTTTATTTAAAGAAATAAAAGGTATTAAATTATATTAATAGTATTATTATTATTAGTATTACAGAAGTAGTTTATCTGTTTACTACGCATTGGCATCAGAGAGCTTACGCAATACTTGTGGTGTTCGACACGTAGAGTATCGCTTAACGTAGATGCATTCACATTGACGCTTAGTCATACATCTCCATACCCGACGACTGGCGTTCATTGTTAATGAATAAATAAACCCTTGTGGTCATAAGTGCTTGTGATAGCGGTAATAGCTAACGTTGAGCGCCGAACCATAGAAAATGATGTGACAGCCCGAAGAGCTTGACTGATTAGACGCCGAACTTAGGCTAAGATTGTATACTCGCGGCATGTTAAAGATATTGAACACGACTGCCTGACTAGAGAGAGTGAGAGAGAAACATTTACTTCAGAAACTAAAGTCCCAGTCTAAGCTCTAAGGTGGCGCTTTACTGGCCTCCTCTGAGATTGCTAGCATATTGCAACATGCAGTCTTTAAATTTTGTTTTCTCCCCGTTCCACTGTTACTGATTCTCAGCGCTCAGCACAGCCGCAGTGTTCGAGAACCCTTAGGACTGCAGTTGATTGTTTTGTTAAGATGACGCCCACTTCGCAAATATTACAGAATATTCAGGAATCATACGCGTCGGCTAGCGATAATACTAGAATATTCGAAGGCATATGTATAAATGCCGACGCGCTTCACCGCTGGTCCGTTTATTTACGCCCGACGCTCTGTTCGCCACTATCAGTGCCAGTGTCTGCTGTAATCTGACTTTTCTTTTACGTGACAACAAGTTCGGCCAAATGAAGTTTCATATGACCACTCACTCTGCTCTGTTTCACGACCGCTATCGACGATTTCCCACCACCCATCGTCAAAAAGGCAGTACGCCCGTTCCTGGAACTGTGTGTCTATTACAGACGTTTTGTCAAGAATCCACACGAAGTTCCAAGCCGTTAACTCACCTTATTAAAGCCAACGTCAAATTCAGATAGCAAGCAGCATAAGAACAAGCATTTCAGGATCCTAAACGACGCCTCCCGACACTGTCCATACTTGAGAATTTCTACGAACATACCGAGACAAAAGTGCACACAGACGCAAGCAACTTATGGTTCCGCGCTGTCCTTATGTAAACAACCAATGGCCTAGAAAAGGTTATCAATTATGCTATCGAAGGCTGAGACCAATTATTCCACAAAAGGAAAGGAGTGCTTTACCATTATGTGGGCAGCGTCAAAGTTTCCACCTTACCTCTAAGGCAGGCTTTTTAAAGTTATGAGCGACCACCACGCCCTGTGTTGGCTTACTTGAAGGGCCCTCCAAGTCGTCTCGCATTTTGGAGCTTGAGATTTCAATAATTCTACAATACTGTTGTGTACAAGGCCGAAAAAAAACACTCTGACGCCGACTGCCTGTCTCACGCCCCCTTCGATCCGCCTCCCCAGGACGACCAGGATGATGAGTGCTTCTTAGGAACGATAAGGGCCGCTGACTTCGCCGAGCGATCGCGAGGCGACCCGGGACTGAGCTACCTAGCGGAATACCCCGAGGACCTCACAAGCGTTGTCACCAAATATTCAGGCGAGCACTGGCGTCATTTTTTTTTTGAAAATCAGTGTCCTGGTAAAGAACTTCTCTACGGCCTCAGCCAGCTATCTCTTCATTGTACCTTCTGCAATGCAACCAAAAATTCTTCGAACTCTACATGACGACCCAACAGCTGGACACCTGGGCGTTTCCCGTACGCTCACAAGAATACAGGAAAAGAACTGCTGGTGGCGACTTGCCGCCAACGTCTCTCACTACGCAAAGAGGTGCCAAGAATGTGAGCGGTGAAAGACAGTGCCCACAAGACCAGCAATCTTCCTACAGCCAATAGATCCTCCTGGCAACCATTTCAGAAAATTGGGATGGATCTCCTGGGTTCATTCTCAATGCCGACTTGCAGAAATAAATGAATCATCGTAGCTACTACTACTGGCTATCTCAC